TAAACGTATTAATCAATGTATTGGTAGGTAATATCATTAATAATAACAAACACTAAATTTATACTTTGACTTATGTACTTTTTGTGTAATAGAAAGTACAACATTTTCAAAAAATGTATCCATTTCTTTCATTGCAAACATTTGCATCATAATATCAAAACAAGAATTAGAATCAAATATTAACAATACTTCTTCAATGTTAGAAATAACTTCTCTTTTGACAATATACTCAATCAATTCAGCAAGTCTTTCATTTTCTACAAAATATGAAAATAGTAATTGTGAATTAGACATATTCGTTTCTACTCCCATTGAAATGTGTATCATTGTTTTGAATGTTGCTTCTGGTATATCATTCATTAAAGGAATAAGTAACTATGTGTTAATTTATCTATGCTTTTTCCAAGTTTAAAATGTTATATACATGACAGTCAACAACTAAAAAAAAACAAACAGAAGTCCACGCATTATTGTCATTGGCAAATCTAGTTCTTGGTGTAAGTTTTGATGAACAGGAATTAGACCTTGATAATCTGGAAATTCTTGGAGAGAGTCCGAGATAAGAGGTGTTACGTCTCAAAGAACTCATTTGATATTAATATTTGAGAGTTTTATTATAAAGAAAATATGAAAATAATAAATAATAAACAATAATAAAAAATACCAATTTCTTTAAATTATGTAATTGTTTAATGTCTATTAATTAATGTACTCCTTTGGATTATCCTTTCTTTCTTATATTCAAAACCTTTGATTTGTCTAGTTAGTTGATTGACTTATTGAAGGAGAATGAATCAAATAAAATTTCGTATGAACCAAAAAAAAGAAAAATGTAAGAAAAGTAAAAGTAATTGAATAAAGTATTAAAAGTTCAACAAGTATTGAGTTTAATTTTGACTTATTGCTTCGTTATTGCTCAAGCAATTATGTGTTTAAGTAGGGGAATGTGAATATTGCAATGCACATTCTAGTTTGTTTCTATATACAGTTGTAATACTTCAAACAACCAAATACTCATTAATGTCTACCAAGATAAAAGTATTTGTAAACAACTCAAAGACGAAGAATTGTGTGTAGAGTGTTTAAAATCATATTATAATTCAAAAAGGCATATCCACCATGTGTTAGTAATTGTGAGAGTTGAAGTTATTCTTCAGATAGGAAGGTGTGTCAAATGTAAGTTTAGACTTTTTACTTAAAGAACAAAAATGAATCATTTACAATGGTAAATGTGAAGATAGTTTAGAATGTATTGACGATGTATATAGATGTAATAAATGTAAAATAGACTTTTATCCAATTAATAGGGTTTGTTTCAATTTGTTTATGTTGATAGATTTCATAAAATTTGATAGGTAAAAAGACTCAGAACA